ATCACATGTTCAACAAATATTTTTAAAGTCACAATAAAGACACAAAACTAACAATAAAAAGTAACGTTAGGTTAATTCCTTAAGTCACCTGTTATCAAAATACTCCAAATTATTTTTTTAAATAAATTTTAATGCGTTAAAGAAAAATAAATGCAACATTGTCATTATTGAAAATTGTAAACATATGATACTTAATATTGCAAATTTATAGATGCAAAAAAGTAACTTGTGAATTTAGTAAAAATTAATAAAGGTTTGCAAATTTAAATTTTGACTCATCATAATTTGATAGAAATTTTTTTTAAATATATTTTATATTTAAAATATAAATTTTAATTAATTTTAAATAAAATAAAAAATAAGTACATGTATATTTTACTAAAAAAAGAGTATGATATTTATCCATTACTCTCTAAAAAGGTAGACTAACGCACCTTTAACCTTAATCTTACACTTTTGTTTATATATATATATTAGGGCTTAGGACTAAAATTAGTACACTACATATAATGCTTAAAAAAATTGTAGCTTTGTAGTGGATTATGTGACACCCTTGATTTTTTATTTATTTTATATATTTATTTATGATGAGATAGAGAAAGTAAAAGAATTCATTATAATAGTATGAAAATGTGATAAAATTAAAATTTTCTTTGCATGATTCAATTTACAAAAGATAAAATATACCTTAATAAATAAATTTGCACTAGAACAATAAAAAAATGTACATGAACTATATTTCATTTATATACAAAGGTTTAACAATTACAGACCATTATCAAAATATATTGAGACTTAGTTTACATATTTACAATATCAAAATTATTCTAAGTCCTGAAGAGCAATCAATATTTACACCAAAACACTGAGGACACAATCCTAGTCTTTGTCCCCAAATTAGCCCTTTATCTCTGCCAGCTCCTCCGATGTCAGGTCCTTGTCATCACCGAGGTCTTCGGTACCAGCAACGACCTTAGTGCTTGTCCTCAGCTCTCGAGTAAAACTACTTGATTTTCCCATCTGGTCGTGGTCATGGAAAGTGCACACGTAGTTCATCGCGTTTAGTGTGACACCACCTTTTTTTATTAATTATTATTTGATAAATTATTTTAATGTTGGGATGTATTTTATTTTGATTTGATGAATGTTTGATAGAAGTCTGGTGTAGGGGGTTCCACTCAAGTGAGATTGAGTGCCTAGAACCACATGATTTTAGAGCAATCTCGCTCAAGCAAAATGAGTCTCACTAGTGATACAAGATAGACTTGGCCCAACTATCATCTCGTCCAAGCAAGAGGTTATCCCGTTCAAGCGAGTAAAGGTCTTGCCCAGGTGAGATGGGGCTTACTTAAGCAGCCTCATAAGAAAGATTGGGCAGCTCTTTGGACACCTTCTTGCTCAGGTGAGAATGATCCCTCGCTCAATCAAAAATATTTGAAAAAGCCTAGAATGACCATTGTCTGGTGTTCTAACTTAGGTGAGAGTCACCTCGCTCAAGCTAGAGCGTGCGAGCTGAGAGGTATTTAAGGAATTTTCAACATGAAAACTTTAATTTTTTCAGTTCAAGTTACGTTCCCTCTTCATTTTGTCTGAATTCTCACTTTCTTTCCTCAGAGAAACCTTCTTCAAACTCCGATTGTTGCTCAAATCTAAACTCAGATGTCTGATCTAAGCGACTCTAACTAAGTCTGTTTGAGTTTTATTCTATATTCTTCATTTGTTTCTCTTCGTTTACTATTTCTCAAGGGTATTTTACGATATCTAGGAAAAATTGATGATATATGTTATGATATGTGATTATACCATATATATTTGTACAATATTTGTATGAGATATGTGATGAGAATCTAGTTAAGAGATGTTATGATAAAATATGATATTATTACTGAGTAACAATTAATTGTAAAGAAAGATTGATGATATATGTTTGGTAATTTGAATGAGATGTTGTATTATGATTTGATATATTATATTATATTTTGTGAAATATGAAAGAAAAATGATTAGTCTGAAATTATTGTGAGAGATAGTGATTTCAGTTTGAAAATGTGTAAATGTTATGACGAATGTTTGGCTGATTTGGAAAGATACTATATTATAGAAATAAAATTGCGTTGCAAACATAGTTTGGAAGTGCTTTATTAAGCATGCTTTTTAGTTGGATAATGAGCATGATATGGAAAAAGAGAATAGGATGAGTATAAAGTGCTGAATGAATCTATGTAAATAGTTACAGAGATATACTGAGAGTATAGAGTCCGAAGATGTTGGAAAATCTAGAGAAAACATAGGGTGGTGAACGACATTCGCATATGTGTACACATTCTTTCTGAAAGCTGATAAATGCTTTCTATACTTGATCCTACATCGTAATTCATGAATGATAATTGAGAGTTTTAAGCTATTCATTGAGAAAATTTACTATTATTAATTTCATTTTATTCATATTTCAGAAAAAAAGAGCTTAAAAGATATTGAGAATTGAAACACACAAAGAACCAGAGATATACATGGGTAAGTACACGCCCGTGTATATGAGCGTGTATCTCACTGGTCGCGTCAATTGAAGTGTATCATCAAAATCAGAGATGTACATGGCCGTGTACATGGGCGTGTACTTTTCAAGAAAGCTGTGGAGTGCAATTTTTACAGACCAGATATGTACACGACCAAAGTACATGGCCGTGTACATGGGCGTGTACTTTTCAAGAAAGCTATGAAGTGCAATTTTTAGAGTCCAGAGATATACACAGCCAAAGTACATGGCTGTGTACATTTAACGTGCATCAAAATTTAAATTTTTGCGAGAAGATGAGCCCTTGGGCCACTCATATAAAAGGAAACTTGGCACAGAAACCTAGGGGAGGAGGTTTTTGGAGAAGAAATACTCAGAGATGGCTGGAGGATGGGATCAAGCATTTTATTTCATCTCTTTTGTAATTTTAGTTTGAAGATGTTTAGGTTCTAATTTTTCTTTGAGTATCTAGACGTAATGAATCTTAATTGACCAAATTTTCTGGAATTCTTCTAATGCTTTTTCATGTTCTTTTCTCTTGAGTTTAATTGAGTAGTATCAATTGTCTTCCATCTTGTTTTCTTGTTTGAATTTGAGTAAAATTCCTGCATGAAATTAACATTGCTCAATTAAAAGGACTTGAATGTATTTCTAGAGATAGAAAGACGTAAGTTTTCCGTATTAGGATTAACCCTAATTATGGAATTCATAATGAACTTAATGCAACCTAGGGGTATTAATTAAGGAAGAGATTCGATTGATCAACCGAGAGTTAGGAATTATTATCCTTGAGAAAGGTATTGATTTAATTCAGAATTTCCTGCAGCGATAAGAGTTTGGAACTAAGTAGTTGAAGAAGAATTTTAGTTATTTGGACACTTAGGAAGATTTATAGTCTAGATACTCGCCTTTTCCCCTTGAATAGCTTTAGTCATACTTTTCTATAATTTATTATCATAAGAAATTTGTTCCTTTTAATTTATTATTCTTCTATTTTTAGTAATTTTATTAACAAAAATTTATTTATCATATTCATTAACAATTGCATAATTAAGGAAGTAATTCTTAATAACAGTCCCTGTGGATACGACACTTGGTACTCTATTTTTCATAATATTACTCTGACAACGGGTACCATTGCCCAGTAATCAGTTTTTACACACCAAGTTTTTAGCGCCGTTGTCGGGGACTAGTTATTTCGGATTTCTTTAATTACGTCTTTACTAATTTTCTTTATTTCTTTAATCTTAAATTAATTTTATTATTATTATTATTATTATTATTATTATTTTGCTTTTATTATTTTTTAGGAGTTGATTTTTCTGGTGCATGACCAGAACCCTGCTATATTATTCAAACTTGACCCAGAGATAGAGAGAACTTTGCGAAAAATTTGGAAAGAGAGACGACTGCTAGTACAGAAGGAAAACACACAAAACCACATGGAAGGAATGGCGAACAATGAAGATCAACCAAGGACCATGTCCGATTATGCTCGTCCATCATTAACTGGAACAAAATCTAGCATTATCCGTCCGGATGTGCAGGAAAATTTTGAAATAAAGCCCAATGTTATTCAGATGGTTCAGCAATTTGTCCAATTTGATGAGTTACAAGATAAAGACCCCAATGCTCACATTGCAAATTTTCTGGAGATTTGTGATACTTTAATGGAGCTACTGATGATGCAATCCGCTTGAGGCTATTCTCATTTTCTCTCAGGAGCAGAGCAAAACAGTGGTTAAACTCTCTCCCACGAGGATCTATCACTTCATGGGAGGCTATGGCAGAAAAATTGTTGGCGAAATATTTTCCTCCCGCAAAAACTGCCAAGATGAGGAATGATATCTCTTCCTTCTACCAATTGGAGTCAGAAACTTTACATGATACATGGGAGAGGTTTAAGGAATTACTACGGAAGTGCCCACATCATGTGATTTCGGACTGGCTTCAAGTGCAAACCTTCTACAATGGGTTGAACCCAGCCACAAGACAAATGATAGATGTTGCAGCTAGGGGGACTTTGAATAGCAAGACACCAAGGGCTGCACAAGAACTGTTTGAAGAAATGGCAATGAACAGCTATCAATGGAGCTCCACTCAATCCAAACTTGCAAAATTTGCTGGAATTTATAGTCTTGATGTAGTAACATCCTTGGTAATGCAAGTTGAAGCCTTAGGGAAGAAGATTGATGGTTTGTCTATTAACCATCCAGTTGCTCCGGTGATGAGATGTGATATTTGTGGAGGAAGCCACCCTAATCATGAGTGTCAAGCTACTTAGGAAGAACATGTCAATGTGATAGGAAACAGACCACCGTACCAAAATTATAATGGCATGAATAATTCGGGCTGGAGGAACTATGCAAACCCACCATGGAACAACAACCAACAACCAACGCGGAACAACACACCCTCAGGATATCAATAAGCCCCACATTAACTACCACCCCTAGCTGAAAAGAAGTCAAACCTTGAGGAGTTGATGACCAAATTCATTCAAACTTCAGAATCTCGATTCCAATCTACCGAGACAACACTAAGAAATCAACAAGCCTCTATCCATAATCTAGAAATTCAGTTGGGTCAAATTTCTAGACTCCTCTCAGAAAGACCCCAAGGAAGCTTGCCTGACAATACTGAGACTAATCGTAGGGAGCAAGTGAATGCAGTAACATTAAGGAGTGGCAGAACATTACAAGAGAAGGGGAAGCAAGAAACAGAAAAAGATGCAGTTGAAGAGGAGGATAAATGTCAAGAGGAGGCTGTGGAAAAGCCCCCTGTAGTGAAAGAATTCATACCCCCACTTCCCTACCCAGCAAGATTGAAGAAAGACAAGGATGATGAACAATTTGGTAAATTTCTATCTTTATTTCGTCAACTTCATATTAATTTACCGTTTGTTGATGCCTTGGCACAGATGCCCAAGTACGCCAAATTTCTAAAGGATCTACTGTCCAACAAGAAGAAATTGAAGGAGTTGGCCACAGTAACTCTGAATGAAGAATGCTCAGCAATTTGTAAAACAAGATGCCTAAAAAATTAAAGGATCCAGGGAGTTTTACTCTTCCTTGTCTCATTGGTAGATTGATAGTTGATAGGGCTTTAGCTGATTTAGGTGCTAGCATTAATTTGATGCCATATTCTGTTTTTAAGAAATTAGGCTTGGGAGAACCTAGGCTAACTAGAATGAGTATTCAACTAGCTGATAGGTCAATTAAATATCCTAGAGGTATCATTGAGGATGTGCTTGTAAAAGTGGACAAATTTATTTTTCTTGTTGATTTTGTGATTCTTGATATGGACGAGGACATTGATGTTCCCTTGATCTTAGGTCGTCTATTTTTAGCTACTGCAGGGGCTATAATTGATGTGAGGGATGGAAAGTTAATTTTGAGAGTTGGAGATGAAAAAGTCATCTCAAAATTTCTGATGTGATGAAAAAGTCTTTGAAACAAGATAAGTCTTGCTACTTTATTAATGTAATTGATGATTATGTTTTTGATTGTGCACAGGAATTTTTGATTTCAAACCCATTGAAAAGAAGCTTAGTTCATGAAGGAGGAAAAGATGGTATGAGCTTGCTAACTTAAGAACAGTGGTGTCATTTAAAAGTCACTAAGCCATTATGGAGAAAGAGGGACTTTGAAGTTTTGGAGTGGAAATCAAAGAAGCAACCCAACCCATCCATTAATGAACCACCAGATGAAAAATTGAAGGTCTACCATCATAAAAAAAATCAAGGAAGGTAAACTATTTCAAAAAGGTGATTTAGTAGTACTGTTGTACAAATCTCGCCTCAAATTATTCCCAGTTAAACTCATCCCGTTGCTCTGGACCGTTTACTGTGCATAAGGTATTTCCTTGTGGTATAATTGAATTAACTCATCTAGAAAAAGAAAATTTTAAGGTGAATGAACATAGGCTAAAACTGTACCAGAGGGTCAATTGCAAACTTTTGCAAATGAGGAGTTTAAACTCCTCCATGTTAAATGTTGAATTACATTGAATAGTTTAGGTTAGGTAGGTTTAGTTTATTTTAATTTAGTTATTTATTTGCTCATTTATTTATATTTTAGTTATTTATTTGCTCATTTATTTATATTTTAAATAAGCGTCCTCGCCCCCAGCATGAACCCCATCTCCTTCTGACCACTTTCTTAGTATAGATGATGAAGACTCAGATGATGCTAGTGCAACAATTTAGCCTGCAATTAGGATAGTCTTAGTTGTTGAATTTTTTAATTTATATTATTTTTAGGATTTAAATTGCTTTTGTCTGTTTATTGCTTCTGTTTCTTTATCGCATTATTTTGATCGTTCTACTCCTCTTGTCATTCTAAATTGAGTTAAATCTCCTTATAAATCAATTTTAATCAGGTTTCCTCTCCAATTGAATCCCATATTAGCTTTGCTTCCCACGACTCTTTGCTTATTTATTTACTTTTCAGGGAAGTTTCAGTTGCACTTTAATTTTTATATTTGATTGAGGACAATGCAAATCTTACAATGTGGGGTGGATAATTATAGATGTTTGAACTGAATTGTTGTTTTATTCTCGAGCAATATTGAGTCAATTTTACTGTTGCATTAGAGATGATATTCCTGAAAATATAATAAATAAATAAACATCACATGCAATTATTCTAGTTATTTGAATTGTGTTTTTAATTGTTTTTCGATTGAAGTATCATTAGAGTTTTCTAAATTGAGGACCTTGAATCTATGCCAAATTTTTTAAAAATGTTTGAAATTAATAAAATCAGGAAAATCAGAAAAAAATTAGGCTCTGCTAACAAATAAAAAAAGAGCATGCCATAGAAGCATATCTAGTTGAATGTGGATTGCAGGCAACGTCCAAATACCACATCCTAGAACCCCGAAATTGTTTGAGGTACCGATGTGGAAAGCAAGAGGTGGAATTTCCATTAATTCCTTGTGCTAACTGGGATGGAGCATAAAATGCACCCTGTTAGTCGATCATGGCTCAAAGTGAAGAGAATTAAACAACACCTTGTGGAAGGATTCAAATTTTTGAATTGAATTTTAAGAGCTAATGGTAGAGAGGTCCTTATTCAGTTCTGTCTGAAGTTACAAAGGTTGAGAGCAAAAATAAGGCATAATTTGATGTTTAAGAATTACTGTCCCTCTAAATATTTGAAAAATAAAATAAAAATAACAATAATAAAAAATTCAGGAATTTGATTCTTTGTTGTCAAGGGTAAAATTGATCCATTTCTTTACTTGGGGACAAGCAATTGTTCAAGTTCGGGGAATTTGATAAATGCTTTATATACTTGATCCTACATTGTAATTCATGAATGATAATTGAGAGTTTTAAGCTATTTATTGAGAAAATTTACTATTATTAATTTCATTTTATTCATATTTTAGAAAAAAAGAGCTTAAAAGATATTGGAAATTGAAACACACAAAAAACCAGAGATATACACGGGCATTGCGTCAATTGAAGTGTATCATCAAAAACAGAGATGTACACGGTTAAAGTACATGGCCATGTACATGAGCGTGTACTTTTCAAGAAAGCTGTGAAGTACAATTTTTAGAGACCAGAGATATACATGGCCAAAGTACATGGCCGTGTACATTTAACGTGCGTTAGAATTTAAATTTTTGCGAGAAGATGAGCCCTTGGGCCACTTATATAAAAGGGAACTTGGCACAGAAACCTAGGGGAGGCAGTTTTTGGAGAAGAAAGACTCAGAGACGGCTGGAGGATGAGATCAAGCATTTTATTTCATCTCTTTTGTAATTTTAGTTTGAAAATGTTTAGGTTCTAATTTTTCTTTGAGTATCTAGACGTAATGAATCCTAATTGACCAAATTTTCTGGAATTCTTCTAATGCTATTTCATGTTCTTTTCTCTTGGGTTTAATTGAGTAGTATCAATTGTCTTCCATCTTGTTTTCTTGTTTGAATTTGAGTAAAATTCCTGCATGAAATTAACATTGCTCAATTAAAAGGACTTGAATGTATTTCTAGAGATAGAAAGACGTAAGTTTTCTGTATTAGGATTAACCCTATGATTATATTTATGTTATAATATTAATAATTGAGATCGTGTTATGTTTAATGATAAGGTAGACGCTCATCCTTACTAAACGTTTCAGGGAACAAGGATGACAACACTGATGAAACAAATTTCGCTACTCGTTATGCACAAAGATTGTCGTTAATCCTCATCAAATATGCAAAGAAATGAATGCAGTACTAGGGTGTTGTCCTAGGTCGTCTCCAAGGAATTTTTGGTTGGGAACATACATCGAACAAGTGTAAACATATATTTTAAAGCAAGTAAATTGGGGGGAGGTTTGTCAATTTTCAGATTTTAATCAAGAGCAAAATGTAAACTAGTGAAATTCAATCAATAAGTTCTATCCCTATTCTTTCAAATGATTCAATAATCCCCTATTTTTCTCTTGAATTAAGTTAATCTAACAAGCGAAAATTAACTTTAGCATCCCAATTAAAATTAAGCATCTTAATGGGCTCCAATCTCTATCTCTAAGATTAAGTAATCTCAAAGATTAATCAAAATTAAGCAATTTTGAATTAGTATTTTGTTTGGGTAATTTAGGATTCATTAAGCAATGTTCCCCTCATGTAAATTTCATTTCATTCAGAGATTAGGGTTAATAAATCCAAGGAAAGAAAGAGTAATATTGCCATTAAACTCAAGAATTCAAGAACCATATGAGTTGACGAGGAATTACAAGAGAATTTAGCCCTCCATATGGATGGGCTTCACAAATAAAAGAGAGAAATGCAGAAACGTAAGCAACATTAATGTAAACTCAATGAGAATCAAAGGGAAATTGAAAATCAAAACCTATAATGGACCCCTGGCTGTCACCCAAGGCTCTAAAGCTCTGGAAAGAAAATGTCCTAATTTGGCAAAGAGAATGAAAGAAAATAAATTGTTCAAGTCCCCGTACCCTAATTCCTAAAATCTATTTATAGTGGAAGACATGTCAGCAAAGTGTCCACTTTTGCCTTTGAAAGTGTCTACTTTGGGCCTTGAAAGTATCCACCCGCATATTTACGTAAGCTTGCCAATTCTCTGGAGTTGCCACTTTTCATGCTGAAAGTGGCTACTTTGGATGCGCGTAGTCACTATGAAAGGCAATAGTGACCACGCACAAATTGCTTCCAAAAGTGACGTCCTGGAGCTTTCTGGAGTTGCCACTTTTCATGCTGAAAGTGGCTACTTTGGATGTGCGTAGCCACTATGAAAGATAATAGTGACCACGCGCAAACTGCTTCTCAAATGGCGTCCCTGGAGCTCTCTGGAGTTGCTACTTTGAAGGTTGAAAGTAGCTACTTTGGAACCTTTAATGCCCAGACTTGCTGTAGTTGCCACTTTTGCTCCTAAAAGTGGCTACTTTGGGGGCAACTTTCATCCAAGGGCCAAGATATCTCAAAATTAACTTGGGGACTCTGCAAAATTATCAAGACAATTAAAATTGCAATCTATATCTATGTAATTAAATGCAAATTAACCAAAAATTAATAAACCTATGATATTTACTCAAAATGTGATTTCTATATTATTTGCACTATCTAAGTCCATTTTTTCTATCAAGGAGCACAAAAAAGGCAAGTAAAAATATAATAAAAAGTGGATTCATCAAACACTCCAAAGGCAGATTAAATTTGTAGATTATTCTATACAATGTAGAATAAATTATGTATTTAATGAATATCAGAGGTTTTGTCATTTTAACTTTGCCGTAGACTATGATAATGTACCTAGTCATGGTTATACTTTGGAAATGGACCTAAATTATAGTGTTTTGTTAGATTTTCCTGTGAACAAAAGGATTCATCACATCTTTGTATTTATATATTTAGAGGTATTGTTAGGACTCCAGCAGCTGTGAGTTATCTGTGTATCTATCTTGATCATGACCTCTTTAGAAGACCAACCTAGGTGACTTTTGAGCGGATCACGGGTGTTGAGGTCGTGATTGATTTTAGCGACTTCTATCTTGGAGAAGACGAAGATCTGACTCTGGGGAAACTGATTGAGACAGAGAGTTGACATGACAACGACAACTAGGGGTAGATCCTCAGTATTTTGGATATGAGTTGAGACTACTCTTAAGACTTAGTTTATTTTGGTTATATAATTATTTATTCTAAGTCCTACAACTTTTTGATTAAAAATTTGTAAACTATTATATTGTTTATATGTAAATGAAAATTTAGTACCTGTATGTTTCTTAATTGTTTTGGTATAATATAATTATTAAGTTACCGTTTATCTTATCTCATTTCATCATGTTGGTAAATTTTGTAAATGGATTCATTCACATTAAAGCTTTAATTTTCTCACTTTTTATATTATTATTACCTATTTTAAATGAAATTTATTTAATTTATTCTGTTTCTATATAAATTATTGTGTAATTTGAAAGTAGAAATTTAGGGTGTCACATTTGGCGTCTGTACTATACATCTGTATATGTACAAACTAAGTATGTGATGAATTTTACCACTAATGGAGTAATCGAAAGGAATACTATACCTTATTGTCATCTCAACAGTGAATACATCACTAGATTCAATATTATTATTTACAACAAATTTACAATGGTAGAACCGTTGTCACTACCTAAATACTACTTACTAGCCACTCTGACAACTTGATAGGTCTTTGAGGGTTTGTCATCCTTGTTCCTTGAAAATATTAGTAAGGATAAGTTCTCTCCCCACCACTAAAACATAATCAATTACACTTTTTTATAACATCAACATAGTGATAAACGTGTCAACAAATACTATTACATAAAACTTTATTAATAATAAATTTATGCATCATAATATTGAAGACAAGTCAATACATTGGTAATTTCCACTAATTTATACATGTTTAGCCACAAATGATTAAACTTCTTCCTCAAGTACGCACTTCCTCATGCATTGTGATCACAAATATTTGATGCTTTCAGCACTTCATAAGGTGTAACACCCTTAATTTTGTAGCCCTTGTATAGAAAAATAGGAGTTTTAATGCAGACTATCTTGCTGTAGCGAGATATCTCTTGTTGTAGCAAGATATCTCTTGCTACATCGAGAAAGAGTGTCCAGAATAAGACTCTCTGATCTCTTACTATAGCTAGAATGACAGATAATAAAGAAAAATTTTGTTTGATTTTTTTGCTACAACGAAGGAAGAGCTCGCTGTTGTGATAATATCGCGAGTTAAGGGGGTATTTAAAGGTCTCCAACCTAGAAATTTGAATTACAATCCAAAAATCTCGACCTCTTCTCTGTTCTCTCTGATTTCTCACTCTTTCTTCTTAGAAATCCTCCTCTAAACCTCAATATTCCTTTGAATCCGTACTTAGGAGCTTAATCATTCATATCCAAGTAAGTTTCTTGGAGTTTGGTTCTCCAACTTCGTTCTTATTTCTCTATTTTATCCAATCTAAGGTTTTGTACCTTGTGAGACTTAAGGAAACCTTAACTCTTAAGACGATATTCTCTAGCGGGACATTGTGCCTCTCCTTCAGATCTCTAAGACAACCCGATCTAAGAGACCCATTTCCAAGTAATAGGAGTGATCCTAAATCCTAACTTCTCTTTGATATTTTGATTTAAAAACACTAAGTTTTTTTACTAGAGCCCTAATATTTTCTTAAATCTAATGTGTAGGAATAGAAAGTTTGACATGAAAACTTCATGCTTATTTTCAAAGCTAACTAAATACAATTTGTAACAAAAGCTCTAAACAAAACTATTTCAAGAAATATTATAATTTTACTAGTAAACCTTGTTCAAAGGTAACTTAAGATTTACACATTTGATATTTTTGAAATAATAGATATACTGTGAATGCTGGATGTTGCTTAACTTTAGGATAGATGATTGTATTGATATTGAGCAAGCATGTGTATGTTGGACTGTATGATTGGGCTGAGTCCGTAAGTGTTCGACCTTCGGCACATTGTATTGGCTTGTGTGGTATGAAATTGTTTGATGATATTTTCCTGTTAAATGATATAATGAATATAGATGTTGTTTGATAGTTGAAGTATGTCAAAATGGGTGAAGTTATGTTATTGGTAAAAAATGTTTGACTATTCATAAATGAAGAAAGAGTTTTGTGTATAAAATGAAATGATATGATATGATGATGAAAATATGAAAAATGTGATTATAATACGTAAGCTAGAATAGATTGATGGATGGAATTATGATACAGGTATTGTGATATATCAAATGGTGTACTCATAGTACATGTATTGTAATACATTAAGTTATATGATCAAGACTCACATAGTATGACATGTTGATCTATGAGAAGAATATGAAAAAGAATGAGAATAGTTGAGAAATGTCAAGAAAAAAGAATAATATGAGAAATGGTGAGAATAAGTATAGAAAGTTATAGAGATACATTGAGGGTATAGAGTCCAAAGAAGATTTGAGAAATCTTGAAAAAATGAGGATGGTGAATGCTAATTGTAAATAGATGCACAATGATTTGCTGAAAGTAAAAAGTATTCACAGGCCACACACTCATTTTCTAACAAGATTTCTGACTATACTTTTGCTAAAAAAGGCTAGATTAGCACACATGTATCCGTATTGCTGCGGCTAATCAATAGCTATTTATGCTATGAACTCCTCAAGGGATCCCCGGGGCATGTATGGAAACATTAATTGATATGGTATAATACATGTATCATGACATATAGATTAGTGTAAAAATGCATGCCATACATATTTACAAAGATGATTGATTGGTTGCATGTATATGCTCCGCTGTGATAATGATTTGTATGTTCTAAGTGTTATTATTAATCCTATATATATATATATATATATATATATATATATATATATATATATATATATATATATATATATATATATATATATATGAGATTTTGTGGGGTGGGAGATACTCACTTTTACTAATATTTTACAGGTAATGAAAGTGAAGAGATAAAGGTGGTTAGTCTGTTCTAGGTCTATAATCCAATGACTTTGTGAAAGAAGACTGTTCTGTAGGATTTAGAATAATTTAAAGAATTGTAATATTTTATTAGATTACATTTTAAGTTGAGAAAGTTTTGTAAATACTTTAAATGTCAATTTTTGAGTTTTAAAATACTTTGATGAATTTTGTTGTAATTAATAATTTTAAAGTGTCATTATGTCTTAGAATTACATATATGCTTTGTGAACCAAATAATTTGCTAGACGTAAACTTAATTTTTATTCATCACTTTAAATACCTTATGTAGGTTTTACTTTTATTCAATTCTTAAATCTATGAAACACAATAAAATTTCTCTATTTTCCCCTTTTGCTATAAAAATTTATTTATTTATTTTATAAGAAATCAAGGATGTTACATAAGGTCTTACACTAATAGGTAAATAGTCATCAATTAGCCCATGCACACAAATATAACGTATATAATAGCAAGCTTATTAACAAAGATATAGTTAGGAGTCTAGTCAGAAAACGAGTGTGAGGCTATACGACACATTTGCTCTCAAATAGATTGTGTACACATATGCAAATATCGTTTATCATGCTACATTTCACCCAGATTTTCAAAATTGTCTCTGAACTCTATTCTCCCAATGTATCTCTGTAATTGTTTACACTAATTCTTTCATCACTTTTTACTCATATTATACTTCTTTTCATTTCATTCTCATTATTCAGCTGAAAAGATCCTGTCTAAGTAATACACTTCTAGACTAAGTCCATATTACACATATATGACAAAAATACAATACAATCACCCAAAACTAATCAAATATGAATCATCAATTTTCACAACACTTAAATATCATTTCAACATATATTTACAAGCAAGAAATATACAATAGTACTCTCATGAACCCAAAATATTCACTATATTTTAATGATGAGATAAAGCTCTCCTTACTTCGAAGTGAAAATTTGGAAGAAAATTTGTGAAGAATATTGTCTAAGGGACCAAGTTTATTTTTTGATATCACAAGAGAGAACATTTTTGAAAAAATAGAAAATAGAGAAAATAGAACAGAGATAGAAGAATTGAGTTTTAAAAAACTTACTTGGATTTAATCGGAACAAAAGTCCAAGTCTGAATTTAAAGAAGGCTCAGAGTTTAAAAGAAGTTTCTCTGAGGGAGGAAGATAATAAATTAGAGAGAAAGTGAGAGAAAAGATGACTTGAAAATTAAAAAAAAAATAATGTTACAAATTATGTAGGTTGTAAGCTTAAGACTATATTAACAGTTCTAATTTGAGTATGGAAATAGCATTGTATAATTTCTAAGTTCAAGGTAAGAATGATAATGGATAACATAAAGTACTCATTCTAATACTCACGTTTTAAAAAATTATTCATTCTTGTCTTTATATTTATTAATTAACAACTTTAATTTTTGTAGCAGTTAGCTTGTTAAATATTTATACCCATTCTCATTATCCATAGTTTAGTTAATTAAAATATAAGAAAAGAAATTAAAATATAATACTTACACTTTCTTACAAATTAATATAAGCATTAATTGAAAACACATTAAATATAGTCCAAAATTACAATAAGCACAAAAACATAAATATAATACAAACTTCCTGTATTAACATATTGAAATAAAATATTATACTATTTATCTAAAACAAACTTTCAATAGAGTTATTTTATTGAATTGAATATTTTGTGCTAGTGCTTCTTAAGGTTTGTTAAAAAATGTTAATTTTTTTAAAAAAAATTGATTCTTTTTTATTTGTCATACTCATATGTACTATTTATCATCTTCTTTAAATATGTAACTTTGATCCCTTTTTTTTTTCTTCAACTTTTTCTCCTTCTTCCTCTTGGAAGACCAAACTCAAATCTAAACCCAAAGGACCAACTGCATCAGTCTAAACCACTATAATGTTGACTCTCAAAGTAATCAAATCCGATTTGAGTATATCTGGCTTCAACTTGTTGGGTCCCTAAGCCAAAAATGAGGCCATAGTCGGTGCTGGTTTGATTTCAATTACACTGCCTTTACAATCAATTGTGGCCACTGGATTTGAAGAGGAAGAGCTGTATATTTTGATGACATTATCCTCGTTAGAGTTGGGAGCACATATAGGAAGAAGATGAATGTCACTGATTAAACTTTCACAGTTAAAATATCATTTGTTTGAATGGGAGAAAGAAAAGGAAAAGAAAAGAAGAAGAGATGGAAGAAAAATGATTAAAGTTGCAAATACGAGAAAGAAGATAAATAATATATGTGACATAATAGAGTAAAAAAAGTTAGGTAACCAAAACAAGTAAAAGAAAAAAGTTGAAGATGAAATTCAAACTTACCTTAAAGGTGTTGGACAAAAATATTAATTTTTCTTAACTTTATTCATTAATCTTTATATTACAAATGAAAGTCTACTATTTGAAAAGTGAAGCCACAAATAAGTTACTCTCTTTCCTATTTTGTTGTATCTTTTAGGATTAAAATTGATTGAAAATAATGTGTAAATATTACACTTTTTTTACTTTAATAATTTTACTTTTTAACCCAAGTATTTGTTAATTTTGTTATAAATTTTAGAGATTAAAATTATTACTTAACTTTCCCTTATTATCTTATACAATTTTTTTATATATATTTTTTTGTAAATACTTATATTTATATTTATAAAAATTATCTTATTTTTTTAAAATTTAAAATTTACTTGTAAGAGACTTATATTTTAAATTTATGGTTATTACTATATATTGTCATTTAATTAAATTTCTTTTTGATACTATCCAATAAAAGTTTTCTTTTAAAATAAATTATATTTTAAAATATTAAATATTTTATTAAATCTTTATAATTTAAATGCATATTATTTATAATTATAGAGTTAAATTAAAAATTTTTAATAAAAAAAATTAAAATTATTTTTAAATTTTTTATTTAAAATAATATATATATTTATTTTAAAATAAAATATCAATGCATTACACGGGCTAATAGACTAGATAGTTATATATTATAAAGTTAAATTAATAGAAATAATAATTATTTTTTACTTTATCTCTGTAATCAAAGTTTCTAAACTTTTACGATCGTTTATTTTTCGTTCTCAAATATTTATATTTTAAGTTTAAAATGAAAAATAAAACTATAATGATAAAATAAAATTTAATTTTAATATTATATAAAATGTGAGAAAATGAATATAATTGTTATTATACTCGTACCCACGCCATATTCTTTTGCAGATATTTATATATGCTGGTACCTAAACTCGTTAAAGCAAATAATTACATAAATTTTTGTCTGAAAACCTAATTATCATAGCTGAGGGTCTTTTTTTTTTTTTTATATGAGAAAAAAATAAGAAAATAATAAAAAAATAGTGTTTTAAAAAAATTACAAAAATATAAAATTTAAAAAAATCAGTGGTAATTTTTTATTTTTAAAGTATTTTATTATTTTTTCAAAAATTGCTAGTAACGATTTATGATTTTCTTAATAATTTTTTGAAAAATCGTCAACCATTTTTAAAACAGTAATTTTTTAAAAAATACCATATTTTGGTATATAATTTTTAAACCTTATAGCTAACGCATTTGTGCAATAATAGGATATAAAAAAATGTATGAACAGAAATAAACAATAACAAAAATTAAAACTGGAAAATGCATACAAACTTTACAATTTACAAACATACAACAAACACTTCAATTGGCAGAAAAAAGAAAGCATAAATATTTTGGAAGCACTCTCTAGCCACCGTTCTAATTCCCCCTCCTAAAACCCACAATAAAATATACAATAGAATCAATATACTAAATGATATACAATTATTTTTTCCCTAAAAGGAAAATATCTGTGAACATTTAACGGACCTAGCAATGGAGAAGAGATTAAGAGCCACAGTCGCTCTTATTTCCTTTCTTATTTTTTGTTGTAAATATTGGTTAAAACAGTGGGTGGAATTGTTATTTATTATATCTGGGTTTTGTGGGGGCATTAGTGGCACCATTACTACTTCCCTTAGCACCATTGTTACTTCCCTTAGCAATGTTCTGCACAAGAGCTTCTCCCATGGTCTCTCCAATGCCCTCAACGAATCCTCCAATGAATTCAATGACGACTTGGGAAGCAACTCTTGCGGCTGCGGCAAGCACGCTTGGTTTCTCGGGGGGTTTGATGCCATTGGCTTGGAGGCCATTCACCTTACTCTTTGCACACACTGCGTGTAAATGGTAATCACACACTGTGCAACGATACACTTTCCCTGACCTCTTCCTATTGCACTCGCGGCAGACCAACGCAGAGTCTGCGGCGGTGGCCGAGGAGGTGGTTGGCAACACCTTTAGGGGGTGAGGATGATTTGGGTACTGTATTTGGGTGTTGAGCATGGCGCAGCAAGGGTGCATTTGAAACGCACATGCAGTGCATAGGAACGCAAAGCCTTTTGTTGGTTTGCCACACACATCGCATTTGGATTTGGCCATCCCACCTTTTGCTGAAATCCACACATAATAATCATTAATGGATATTTACAGCAACAATCAAACAATCAACTATTTTGATGTGTTGTTAGCATATGTGAGGAAATAATAATAACAATAATAGCATAGACACTATAGACACTATACCTGGTTTGGGATGGAACAAGAGAGAGTGTTGTGAGTGGAAGGGGTGGGCCTTGAGAGCAGGAGGAGCCAAGGCACAGAAATCATGCATCTGAAAATCACATTGTTGACAAACAAACCTCTTTCCAGAGCCATACTCCTTGCAGCCAACACAAGTGAAGAGGTCCGGGATATCCACCATTGAGAGAGGGTGCTGTGGGTGGCTGATGTGAAGAATTTCTTCACCAAATATTAGTTGTGGTGAGGTAGGAAATTCCATTCTTGGAGGGGACTTTTTGGTGGCAAAAGTGGAGTATTGATCACTTGGGGCTGTCAATTGGTACTCCATTGTTGGAGATTTTTCAAGCCTGAAGGTTTTTGTTTTGTTAACTTGTTTTAGGCCCTTCATCATCATACTTGATTGCTTCTGTTGCCTTGCTATGCCAACTCTATTTTTGTGGTGTATATAACAAATGTCTACACCTTGTGGAGAATATATATTGGGACACAAAAGTTGCATTACACTATTCATATTTTTCATTATTCAAACACTCGTGGAAATGAAGAGGATGCTATGTGCATTAAGGCATCTTGCATGTGTATGCTACATGAAGGGAATAACTATTACCCTTTTTTGGACATTTGTTTATGATGCTTTGTGCTTCTGCCACCTCGGTGCTACCCTGTAACTTGTCCTCCTCCTTTTGTCTTCCAATCCTTAGGGATCCAAATAATGTCTAATCTTTAATTTTTTTTTTGGTTGAGTAATTAATTGGGATTCATAATTAAGGAAAAAAAAAAAAGACTAACTGGTAACATTCTCTTTTTCAGTTAAGATATATAGATTTTCCTTCTTTTTCTTTGACTGGGATTTTATTCTGAATTTATTTTTTCTAAATCTTTATCACTTTATTTAAATAAAAACAACATCAAACAAAATATTTTAGTTCTTTCCCAGAATATAAGCTAAAATATTAGCCCGTTATCCTACTTTTTAGATTTTTGTCTCCTGATTAATTATATGATGGATAATTATTTGCTACTTTAAGAATATACAGAAATTAAAAAAAAAAATATTCACTTCTTCTATATTTAAAAGATATTGGTAGACAATCAAATTTAAATGCTAAATTAAAATAGGTGCCTAAAATATATATAGAGTAGGTTTTTCTTGATGTTATCATATTCATATTCATAGGGAGTGACTAAAAAAAATGTAAACTTATAGCTTAATTACTGTTAAAGGGGTTCTTTAATGTTCGCCTAAGCTTAAATGTAAGGGTCTATTTGGTGACTATAAAATTGGAGCTATAGTTTTGAATTGTAATCCAATTTTAATTTTATCAAAACTAGATTTGATTTTAAATTATAATTTTTATATTTGAGTTGTGTAAAAAATTAAAATGTAAGATTATCATTTTAAGTTGAGTAATTAATTTCATATATCTAGTTAATTATTTTAGGGATAGTCATAATTGAGTGTGAGTAAAAAAAATTAATCTATATATGACAATGGGTAGAGAATGGTGGAGTTGGTGAGGTAAAAAAAGACAATAATATTGATAGTGATAATTGATAATGATAGTAAAAGTAACAATGATGATAATCAATGATTGTGGGGTGACAAGGGTAACAAAATTGACAATAATAAGAATAATCATAGAAGATAGTTGTGGTGTGAATTAATTGTTATGATTAGGACTAATAATATTGGTTACCATAGTAAGAGCAATGATAGTGGGAGGAGGAAGGCGTGATGGTAAACAAATTGATGAAATCATTAACAACAAAATTAATAATGTGTGAATGTAACAGCAACAATGACTAAAGTAGTACGAAGGAAAACAGTTACATAGTATAACTGATATTTTTTTAGACTTTCAAATTTTGAAGTTACTCTTAAGGTTAATTGATATTTTTTAGTTAGGTTACATATATCTTCTACAAGAAATAATCTTATTCAAGTAAGGTTAGATAGTAGAGGGAGTAATAGTTGATGGAATGATAATATTAATGACAACAATTGGTGATATGTATAAATATAATAGTGACAGTAACTAAAATTGTATCAATGGAGAACTATTACATGATCGTAGTGATGTTAGAAATTATAATTCAAAATTTAAAGATTAGAATTGAATAACGTTAATTCTACTTACATTGAACTTCTATGAGATTAGACTTTAGAATTGTAATATTAATTTTTAATAGACTTTTAAATGTTTTAGTTATAACTCTAAAGTTTAATTATAAATTTCTTTTTTCTTCTAAGCTACATTATCTTTTACAAAAGCAATTCTATTTAAGATAAGTAAAACCACTATAAGTGATATAATTTCTTTCAAGTATTTTATAAAATTTTATTAATTGAAACTCAAATTTAAAATTACAGATTAAATTAAAACAATCCCACGTCCATGTGCTTAATTGAAATTTAATTTCTTAATCTTTAGCCAATTCTTTATATCAACGAACCGTAAGAGAATTTCATCTTTAGATAAATATTAAATATTTATGAGTAGAATTAATTTGAACATTCAAATAAAAATTAACTTTTTGGTGCTACCATAAAATTTTAAACTTAAAATATGTATAAGACATAAAATTAATTATCATAACTGTTAACCACAAGTGAAATGTGGTATTTTAATAAAAATATCGTAATAGATATTTTCATTGTTAACAATGAGGACTTCATTTTATTAAAAAGAAATACATAAAATAAATAATAATTTTTAAATTAAATAGAAAATTACATATACAAATTTATTTAAATCAAGATATATAATCTATATATTTACGAATTTAATATATTGTATTAAATTTAAAATGTGAACACAATATTTGAGAAGAATTAAAAATATAACATATTTAATGTATGAGAAAATATGCGAAGTAGGAAAAAGCAAATTTTAAAAATTTCTGGTTCAAAGTGAATAATTATCTTTTATTGTAAGAAAAGATCAATCTCATACTTAATATACATTGTTTCCTTTCCAATCCAAAACGCGTATTTTTTTTTCCTGTGCTGAAGCAAGCTTTTTAACATTGGATGAACCAAACATCACAATCAACATCATCATCCATTCACCTTAAAACATAAGAAGGCATGCATGAGGGGGTAACTGATTATGTGTGTCTTGTTCATACAAGAAAGACACGTAGTAAAATGGAACCAAATTTCTAGCTAAGTGTATCATAGGGCTATATATGTTTCTTGGAAAGCCAGCACTAGAATAATTTAATAGGGCCCAACATTTAGTTTTGATTCCAAATGGGACCAATGAGTTGAGATTTCTGCGAAGTTGAAGTTAAATGAAATGAAATGCGATTCCCTGCCACCAAAGTCAAGGTTTTCTTTAGGGCAATAAAATGGTGTATTTGCTTTGGGATAAAATTAGGCATTTTAGAAAACTGAATTCCTCTGATTCATTCAAGAAATGTGGATTTGCATTCTATACTATTTTATGTAGTTTGTTTTCTGAGTTGTGAACCATGTATTTCACGAATTATTAGATGCCTCTTTCACTCACTTGACTAAGTGTCATTGAAATGATTCCCAATTATTACTAGTTTGTGTGTTGCAAGTGATTCCCATTCATATTATTCCTACATTTTTGCTTTATCACGTTTTGGCTTCGAGAAATCCACAAGCCACACAGCAAAAAGGAAAATTAAGATACGTATTCGTTATTCCTATCTTTAATCTTTAAGACTTTAAGCACCTCAAAATCTTTTCCACCATTTTTCTAAATTATAATTTAAAATTTTGTTGTCACTTTTTGTTATATATAGTTAAGACTTACCCAACAAATAAACTAATGGAGGAAAAGAAAATTCGTTACCTAACCCAGCCTATGTTTCTTTATCAGATAAATCTTTTAAGTAGATATTTCAAACGTTTGTGTTGTGCTAATAAATTCAAAGATGAAGAATTCATTGTATAATAAAGAGAAGAAGATGCAGGTTGCAAAGCAAAGAGATACCAACATGTCAATTTTCTTTAGCCCAACCTAGATTCTTCTACCTTATATATCTTACCAGTTACCAACATGTCAATTTTCTTTTACCATAAATTGTAGTTTGTTTATTAGATTTTGAAGCATTTTAGAACAAGTCACAGAATCAATTGTGCTGTAGTTGGGTACTCTTAATCACTGTAAGACATATGTGGAACCATAAAAGACGTATGGCTGACAAGAAAGAACTTGAAAACCATAGAAGACAAAACAATAAAAAAAATGATGTACTGGTAAAAATGTGACATCCTTTTTGGTGTTTTTAGTTTATAGAATATAATATTTAAACATCTTTTTACTATTGTAATTATAGTTAAGTTTATTTATTTTTATCAAATTTAATATAAAAATTCAAATAGCAATAAAATTACTATAAAAAATAAGAAAAAAATAATGACAAAATTAACATTTTGTTTTTTTATTTGTGACTGAATTTTTAATCACTAATTTAGTTTCAAAATAATTTATATTTAAATGGCATTTTTTTGTTTTTATTAACAAATGAATTTAACATTTGCTTTTGACTTATTTAGTGATTGATAGTTAATTAACATACCCAAATAGAAGCAAATAAATATTTTAGTAACTGAAATAGAGATCAATTATTTGCTGAAAAAATAAACAAAAATTTGGTCGTTAGTTTGATGTTTTAAAAAAATTAACTATTAATTTTGGGTCTATTCGTGGTATGCATATATTTAATTTTTTTTTTTATCGACCAATTTCACCAATCGTTAAATAACTTTTATTTAAATGACACTAATTTTGTGATAAATAAAAAGTTGAATTTTTTTTATCAAATATAATTTTAATAATTTATGATATTTAAAATAATATTAGGATTGTATTAGATATTTTTTTAAACTTTTTTATTTTAAATATAAGTGTAAGTATAATCATATGACAAAGATGAAAAAAAAATAATATTTGAAATAAAATAATTATAATTTTTAATATATTATGATAAGTTAGAAAATTTAAAGAATGTCAAAATTACATTAATCTAATACTTGATAAATATGATTAACTAAAACCTACTAATGTGATCAATGATAGGCTAATTAGCTTATAATCTTTAAATATAGATTATAAATTACTCTCAATTTGAGAAATAAAAAATATTTCCAAACTATCTTATTTTTTTTATATATTTTTATATTTATAAAAATATGAAAAAAATAATAACACTCAGAATAAATAGTTTTAAATATAGTTCTAATTTTAGAAATATTATAATATTAAAGCATATCATTCAATAAATTAAATTATTAAAAGTTAATTAATATCATTAACTATTAGTTTATTAACTTATTTTGATTAAAATAATAAATTTTAAATTAAAAAAATATCTTTAATTTGGAAGAAGAAATTAAAAACCTAGACTACCTTTCATGTAT